TATGTATTTATCCCCTATGTACCCAGACTTCGTGGACACCCTGTATATATACTGAGAAGGTAAGGCGATCACGGTAACCAAAGGTTTATCGTTTTGACGTTTCAGAATCATACAAGCTTCCATTGTCAAATGTAATAGAATCCGGGACTTAAACTTAAGTTCTGGCTAAGGGTAATCGCTCATTCTGTTCAAAGAGTTTTCTTCAGGTAGAGGCTAAGTGAAGCCTAAACCAAACAAATATACCACTAGTTCAAATTTAAACAATAGGCGACATCATACCCATTGGTCCTTGGGCAGTCCATCATAGCCGATTCGCATTTCACCCTTGTCATTCATCCAGAAGATTAAGTCGACACCAGCCGAAGACGGGAACCGATGAACTGTGTTCGGATCAAAGTAACCAATGTCACCTCCCCAGAGGTAGAGGGGAACGTGGTTCAGAAGCGTGTACTTGAAAAAAAAACAACGAAAAGATACAGAAGATGCATTTAGCTTATTATCGGTTATGACCGATAGTCATAAGAAAGAAAAAACTGAAAGTTTACGATTATTCAGCTCAAAATATCAGTCAAGCACATATGAGAAGAAACATCCAGTTACACTTAAAATGAGGTGAGTGAAAGAAAATAGCAAGGACATGTTAAAATAAGGACCAGACAATGATTCCAACCTTTTCGGCCAGCTCTGGGTATCTTTCATAGGTCGCAAAGTCCGGACTGACTAAGTCTTTTCCAAGGGCTTTTGAACGTGGGTCGAGCCAACCCTCGTTCTCAGTGACGAGAAACAGATTCTTGGGCTTATTCGGTTTTGTGATTTTATTTTCGGCGTCAGCAACCTCCATAATTTTTGCAGCACGTCTATGTAAAAGAAAAAATTATGAAACACTTTATATATTACCAAGAACTCTCATTTTCTATTTGTAAGCAAGATTATCCGCTTGCCTGAGGTTTGATAAAATTTCGACTTGTGAGTTATTCACTAGCCTTAGTTTCAAACGCAGCCTGCACCTCTAGTAAAAAGATGTAATGGCTTTTTAAATTTTCATATTTTTGCTCTCTAACTTACACTCCAAATATATTAGCCGGAAAAGTTAAAATATCATATCTTATACATAGATAAATAAACATGGAAGGAAGTAAACTCGTATCCTAAAAAGTCTCAAACCTCGATTACATATTATATGCATATTTGGCGAGGCTTATCTAATACGCATTATTGGATAAGCTGTTCGTACCTACTAGCATAAGCTTTCAATCCTGTCACTGATGTGTACGCTAACCCATATGTCCTATCCCAACCGGCGAATTTTATAAGAAAGGTAATGTATGAAAACGTAATCTACATTAGTAAGGAATGCTGACAGATTTGAATAATGTATTTAGGCATTTGTGAAAAAGCGGCCTCGGAGGGATTCGAACTCACGCCGAGAGGAAAGTCTTTAGTATAGTCAACGTTCTAGCCAACTGAGTTATGAGGTTTCACACCGAGAGCTTTGACTTTTTTATAATTGGGTCAAATGAATTATTAAAATCTGCCAGCAAAAATATATAATTCGAATAAATTACGAGCACCCAACTGCGTACTTTGCACTATAAGATTACCTAGGATAAATAACTTTAAAATAATTTATTCACAAAATGGCTGTTTTGCCGCGGCAAAGGGCAAGTGATGAATAAGCAGTCGGTTTAGAGGGAATATTGAGGAAAAAATTACTACTTACGATAGTTCGGGATTACTATTTACAACTTCGGACACAGTCTTTTCGGGAATAACGTTGATCCTCGAAGTCTTATAAATAGAGGAGTCTTTGAGAGGAATCGAATCGAAGTTTGTCGCTGTGGAGTAGTGGAAATTCAGCTAAAATGACGACGAAAGTAAGAATTAGTTAACTGAATAAACAGCAAAGTATGCAGCATTTTCCAATTGGGCAGTGTAAACTTGCCTTAGAACCCATCTTATCCTTAGTAAAGTAAGTGGTCTCGTAGAGTTCATCCTTTTTGTTGTTCGTACGATGACCGTCCGTATGTCCCGAGAATGCTGTAATGTTCTTCAGGTTTCCATCATGCTTTACGATGTGATAACGAGCAACGCGGCATCTATACTCTTTGTCTGTCTGGTAACGCTGGTATTCCGCCTGGAACTGCGGATAATTTTTCCACCCTACCAGGACGAAAAAAGGGCGTTTACGCCATGCAAACATAAGTATATATCGAACTCAGCAATACAAAATTTGAAAAGCAATGGAAATAAGGGCAAAGTTCTTCTCAGACAAACCACGAAAGGACAGACGAGTCTTCAGAATGATCAACCGTGGATCCAGTTGAGTCATGTATATGTATATATTAATAGTAACAGTCTAGTACAGGGATCACTACGGAAACCAACCCCCTCCCCTCAGAATTATGTAAGAGAGGAGCGGTGGCAAGAGGCGCTATACTTATAGGCGTTATATATCAAACCAAAACAGGAAAAAAGTTTAAAAGTTACTATAAAAAGCTAATAAATAGAAAAGACAAAACCTACGATGATTGAAAAATAAATCAAACTAAAAGATAGAATATACTAAATTAAATAAACTCAAGTTGCGAAAATTCTCATCAGAAAAGTCGGAAGGCAAACATACGTAAACGTTCGATACATTTTCGTCGGGCTAGTACATTCATATGTGAATGGGGTACAAGTTAAAACGTTTTTGTTTTTTCCTACAAATGAGTCGTGGTAATGGGGGAAGGAGTCGATAAGAGAAGGCTGGTGCTGCGGGGACGGGTCACAAAGAATATGATGACGAGAGAAATAAAGCCCACTACACCCATTGGGAAAAATAAGACGCTATTCCTAAAAGTCCCTTTGCAAGGAGATGCGGCAAATGAACTCCTAAGGAGACGCCTTGACCAGGCCCGGTCACGAACCTTCCCAGGAGCGAGAGTTTGTGTATTATTCTCAATCAATCCGGCCCTGCACGGGGAAGGTAAGGATAGGTTGCCAGCTCAGACCATCTCCGTGTGTATCTACTCATTTACTTGCTCCTGTGGAGCAGGTTCTATCGGTTGC